GATCAGGTGTGAGTGGGCGGGGCTGGAGCACAGGTAGACAGGAGGAAGAAAACAGATGACAAGACAGAAAACTAAAATAAAACAATACAGAAACAAATCATAACATGTCCTCTGTAGTCCCTGGTTCCAACTGCTTTTGTGTGCTGACTACCACCTGTTGTGTCATTAACCACCCCTTACTTTGGTCTTAGTTTTTTTTTCTGTCTTSGTCAGATTAGCCTCTTTTACACATCGGTTTTGTGACATTGTTGCAAACACTCTATTCAGGCAGTTCACAAATTGCCAATTGAGTCAGTCACATCTCACAATGTGAGTTTTCATAAATAAAGCCAGCATCACAAAAACAGCAGATGTGTCAAACATCTCCTAGTATAAATCCCATAGCCACTGCTGGATGGTTTCACACTCTGTTCATCATCACTACGACACATTATCAAGCCACAATGACAGTCTAATATTTACCATTGCAGATCTGAAATTTACTCACCTGGTGAATCAGAGGCGTAACAGCAGTAGGTTGAATTTAAACCTATATACTGCTTTGGTTCTTTCACAAATCAAACTAAAGCCTCTTTCACTAAAGGCCCTGTCACCCAATAATATTTTATAAAACATATACCCACTTGTGAAAATTTTGTACAGCCCTGAAGATGTCTAAGTTGAAGATGGAATAAAAACAAAAATCTACTGGAAGCTTCATTTGGATGTACTGTATAAATACTGTAATACTAGGGAGTTGAATGAATATAACCTATATACCAAACAACGGTCGCACAGATTTCCTTAATTTTGGGGGGATTGGCAATCGGACAATATTTACATGAGAAACCGATCTTTTCTACATCTGCAAAGATCTGAAAATCAGCAACTGTCCTCCTTTGCTCTGCTGTGAGAGRGGGCTGTTGTCCAGTTAAAGCAAATTTGTACTTTTTCAAGTGTATTGTTCAGTGTTTTTCAATAAAATAAAATTGAAACATGTTGGCCAAAGTCGGAATCGGCAGGTCAGGCTTTTTGAAGATCRGTAATAGGTGATCAGTGCAYCCCTAWATCAAACCWTAACAAAATTTCCATRAGTCAGCACAAGTGGTCTAAAAGGTTATAGAATGACAGAGACTTAAACAGTCCAATGATATCACCACAAAGATGATCCCCTCTTTAGATCGCTGCTGCTCTATCAACAATCACTAATTAATGCGTTCACATCTCACAAAGACGTGTGCATTTAWTAATGAAGCTGGCATCATGGAACTAAAACAAGCATCAAGCATAACTTGGTGGTGTTGAAATCGAGTTCAACACAAAACGTGTGTCAGACCTCTCCTCACACACAGATGTCGGACATTTTCTACCCTGCAGGTGTCCGGTTGCACAGATTGTCCGTCTTCCCCTCATCACACCATCAAAGCCTGCATTTCCTTTCACGTGTCTGCAGCTTAGAGACCTGGCGAGTTGGCTTCAACACCCGTGCTGCCTCCATCCTTTCACAAACCGCATCAAGACGACCAAAAGGTGTCTTAGTTACAGCTTGAAGTGTTTTGTGGAAGAGTCTGTTGTCTCTTAACCTCCTGAACCTGCCTGCATTTAAATCCTACAACAAACCGCTAATCATGACAAGCGCCTGCACGTACTCACACATGTTGTGTTAAAAGCAGCACAGAAACGGTCGTTACAGACAGGTAGGAAGTCTCATCTCTTATTCCTGACATGCTCTGAATGTGTGAGGGTGTGATTTCCACAGCAGACTTTTATTTCCGTCGTGTCTTACCTTCTGAGCACTCTCCCACTCTGAAGTATTTTCTGCTGTAGGGATAACGCCTCTGTTCATGTGTGAAAGTGGCAGGGGTTTACTCTTACACAACAAGGGGCCTATGAAATACAGACTTAGAAAAGCACAAGGAAAATGGACATTTAGAAAATACCTTAAAGGTACAACTACAAACCAGTCGCTGAAATTATTCCAATTATTAGCAAGTGAAAAGAGGATTTTACAACCACCAATAGCCTTGATTAGCTCTTATCATTGTGACTACAGTTAGCAGGAATGCACACAATCAGGGATGTGTGTATCCAGAATGTCTCCTGGTGTGGGGAGGTGTGAACAGCTCTGTGTGTCACAGAGGCGAGGGGTCCACCCACTCCCTTTTGTGTTGAAGGTTTGCAAGATCCAAACCCCGCACGGACACACTCAAAAACAAAGCAGCAAGAAACACACACACACACACACGTGCACGCCCTTAAGGCTGCTGGTGGGTTGCCTCAAAAAACAAAAAGAAAAACTCCGGCTTGAGCCTCTTTTCCTCACAGGAGGTCATGAGGGCAGCCTCTCATTCATGTCTCTCTTTGTTCTCTTCCAGTCTGCTGCTTCTTCAGATGGTGGTGAGTACAATTCCTCTTTTTTCACTTTAAAAACCTTCTTTATTACAAAACAACCCACGTCATGTTACTATTTATTAGCAATTTCACACCTCTAGTTTTAACTAACAAAGCTAAACTCTTTCATTGTGACCTGTTTAGAGTCTTTTGTCCCACAGAAGTTCATAGTTGCTCAGAAAAAGTGAGCATAATGTATGTATTCACTGTAGGCGGCACGCCTCATTAACAAAGGAGGTTTGTTGGGAGTCGTTTGGGTTCCAGTCTGGGTCAGAGCCCTTTTTTTTACTTTACACCAGTGGTTCCTAACGTTAGAGTCTGGACTCCAGTGTGGGTCGTGAAACTACAGTGTTTGGTTTTGAGAAGGTCTACAATATTTAGATAAATGTAAGAAAACCATTGTCGTATTTAGCCTTAGCTGTTGCAAATAAATGGTAAAAGTAGTTGATGAGGCTTTGTGTGTAGCTCATTAGGTAAGCCAGCAACAGTTTGGGTTCYGAGGCTTTTCCACTTTTATTTTGTKGGTGAAAAGCTAAAAGTTTTGGAGCCACTCAACATTTACTCAGTTTAGCCCAGTTCCTTCCCAGATTCAATGCAAAAGTTGGGGATCTTTAAAGCCGTCTGTTCGACTGAGCTGCACAGATTTCCAGAGCGTCAGCTCKTCAAACCGTAAATCAAGACGAAACAAGAGGCCTGACACATGAAAACAGCTCACTTAGCGGCGCTGAAATAAAGAAACCCACACCAACATTACCATACAGCACGCAGTTTTAACGACACATCTGCTGAGTCAGTTGAACTAAGATATAGTGTGGGTTTAAAAAAGTCGATGTCTTAGTCATAGTTTGTGAGCTCAGATACTTTTTACGATGTTTTATTTATTAATTTTTTTTCTCTTCACAAGGCCGCAGCTGAACTTTAGCTGGTTGTGAATCCATCCCACTCATGAGGACTGATGAGCAGAGATGCAGCGCTTTGTCTTATCTGACTGAGCATTTGTTTCAGTATTTAAATGCAATGAGAAACTCGGTTATTTTTGGCTCTCCATGACAACCAGCTCACTCCACAGAATATCTGTAACCACTGCTCCTCTGTGATGCTTTTGTTTTTTATTCTGCGCTCTTTTCTCGGCCTGCCCTCAGCTCTGAAGTGGCCATCTGCTGCCGTGATAGCAGGTACCAATCAGGACTAGAGCCCCTACTTTAGCTGACCACCGGTTCCTCTAACGTTGCCCACTTTTGCTCCTTGTGTCCCTGTAATCAGCCACGCTCCTCCACTCCTTTTTTTGGTCTCCTTTTATGTTGCTCTCATTTTACGACTCCCCTTTACAGTGAGCAGCATCTGCTGTTTCTTTTTTTGTGGGTTGAAGTCCTGTCTTCTTGTCCTGTGCTCTACATTTTCCTCAAACTTGTGGATAATTTCTGTCACGTACTTCAAAATGATCACTTCTATATCCTCCTGCCTAATAATTGGATCCATTTAAGCAGTAAAATTGTTTATTGTTTATTATGTCGAATAAATCTATTCCCACGATCTCCTTAAGCTAAACTTACTTTATAGKTTTAAGGAAATTGTCATATTGTTCTAGTTTTAGCTGAATTAGCAGTGCTAGTAATACTAGCAGAGGAAACAGTTGCTCCACTTTTCAGAGGTCTCTTTGACAACGTTTTGTTTGGTATTTCTGTCAAGTAAAATTTAACTGAGCAAATGTCCTGATGCATCCTAATAATCCTGGTAGAAAAATCTAAAAATGTTACGTAGGTCCTCTGGACGAGTTCTTCTTCGTTGAAACAGTTTGTTTCTTCTCCAAGAGATTTCTTCAGCCTGAGGATTTACAGGTAAACTCAGCAGTGCAGTACCTTCACATAGTGGATCAACAGGTTTAGCCGTGACAATCGAAACTGTTTGTTCACATGCAAAGGACAACCATCAGTATAGTGATCAATCGTTGATGTCCTGATGGACACTTATTGTTCACAGTGGGTTGAGTCATACTCGCAATAACTGCTTTATAAGAGGGGAGCAGTTGGACACGGAGGCCTCCACCCCCGTTTAATGTCGGGTGGTTTCTCACAAAAATGGCTTCCTTCACTCCTCTCTGAAACCAATGTTTCTCCCTATCTTTATTCCTGAAAAAGTAAACGCAGAATCCTGCTGATGTTGCTCCTCTGTGCTGGGTCATACTTTAGGGTGAACCAGACTTTGCTGTCATGTGTTTTGGGATTCCAAAGCCACTGGGACGTCTTGTTAAGAAAATAAACGTCTCAGTTTCTTGTTGATCCACCTTGCAAAGGCACTGCATAAGGCCAAACTTACTTGCAACTCCTCAGACTGAAGAAGTCTCTTGGAAAAGACATGAAATGTTTATTCGAAGAAAAATACGTTCAGAGGATCTACTCTTTTTTTAGAGGTAACGAGCTTAATTTTCTAATTTACTTAAAAACAGTTTTGAGTCACTAACAAGATAGATAAAAGTAAAAAATGTCAGCTTTACTTTATTTGTTAAGGCTAAACTGCTGTTGTAGTAAGGTTGTTAGCTGAATTAGCATAGTCAGTGGCATTCAAATTATTATGAATATTATTTGGCTTGGGTTGAAAATATATTTTAACTAAATTTCTGGTTGAGCTACAAGTAGCTGAATGTGGAGAACAACATACCATGCCATCTTTGGACCCTGTTTAGTTCCTTAGGGCTTTAAGGGGGAGAAATGACAGCACCTGGGTTACCCTTTATCGTGACGTTACCTCGTGTTTTCCTGTCCTGCAGACTACAGCGGCATCCAGCTGCAGGGATGCTGCAGCCACAGCAGCCTGACCAGTAATGGCAGTCTTCCAGGAGCAGGCAGCAGCAGAAGGGACCGGGAGCAACGAGTGGCCAGCTGGGCCACCTGCTTCGAGCGACTTCTCCAGGACTCCGTGGGCGTGCGTTACTTCACGGTAAGCTTGGGTAAAATTCGACTGAATGCAAACTTGATGTACGCTTTCATTGGTTTTAGTCTCACCTCTCATCTGCGGAGAACTTAGCGCCAAATTTTTTAACATAAAAAAAAATCTTGAAATTTTTTTTATGACTTCTGCTTTAAAAGATTTCTGGAGAATAATCCTGAGAGTTGAGATTWAAAAAAAATCTACAGAATCAGGTGATAACCTTTGGAGCACACTGTTCATGGACACATCTATGATTGTGCTGCTAATAAATTAGTGCTGCTGTTCCAGATGGTTGCTGCCTGTGACAGTTTATCCAAAGTCATCCTTCCAAACAGAGACACCTTTGTTATAATGAACCATCTCCTCCCACATAAAAGATTTTTCGTTGAATTCAGCCAACAACACCTTCAGAAAGCTCAGCACTAAGTACTGGCTTCCCAAAACTCCCTGCCTCCTTCGCTCTCTTCCTCCCTCCCTCCCTCCATCTCTCCTCACCTTCCCTCCGGAGCAATCAGCTCCGCTCGCCCACGCCATCCCTGCGCCTACACTTACAATACACCAGTCTTGTTACATTACACCCAATAATTTCTGCCCTCGCTAATGATCCTAACCGCAGCAGCGCTTGGCAGGACGCAGAACGCCAGTTTCACATCACACAAAACTTTTTCTCGTGTGCTTCTGCAGGAATTTCTCAAGAAAGAATTCAGCGAGGAGAATATCTTGTTCTGGCAGGCCTGTGAATACTTCAGTCATGTCCCTGCAACAGATAAAAAGCAGGTAAGTGCAGCTATGGATGCAGATTGAAATTAAAGTAAAGCTCAGATCATCTGAAGTGGGGTTCTAAGGAAAGGTTATGAACAATTAATATCTTACCTGTTGTAGATCGCTATTAACTGCATTAATATGGCAAAAATATAGTTTAATTCTGACTGGATTGAAGCGCTAATGGCTAGTCTGAGCATTATTTTAATCTATCACCGGATCTATAACCGGATTTCTGCCAGCTTCAAACAACTCAAATCCCCAAAAATTGCATGTTTGCATTTTTCTGTTGATCACTATTTTTAGCTATTGTTAATAGTTTCATTACAATTGCCATTCTAGGGTTGGGTGGTACTGGCAAAAAGAAAATCTATATTAATATTTAATAATCAGCATTTAGCCAAAACCAATTAATAGATGACAGTTTCACTTGCAGGTTTTTGAGTCTGAATCAGTTACCCCGTGTTGTAAAATTATACGTACAAATCATCGAACTAACTTCTTCATTTTATCAAACACGCCTTGCGTTATCTCCTTGCAGCGTTTACCTTGCTTATAATGCAATTGCGGAGCTAACGCTAGCACTCCGAACTTGTTTAATCACCTGAAACACCTCCATGAACCGGAGTACGAAAGCCAGAAAATGCGAAATGAGGCAAAATTGGATAAAACAAACTACTGAGCATTAGTATTAGCATTAGCATTAGCGTTAACTCTGCGCCCCTAAGACTTAAATAAGTAACTAATCGCAGTAATTGCAAAGTGACAAATATTAATTGATGACAATTTTTCTGGTGATAAATTGCAGACAATGATTAGCTGTTAGCTCGTCAGTCTGGTCACAATTAAACTCAGATCGTTAAGAGTTGTGCACAACAGGTTAGATATTGATTGTTCAGAAAGCACAAAGCACTTCGAGCGATCCTCAGTGATTCATTGTTTAAATATAATAAATTTAAAATGTTTTTATCTCCTGTGGTTCCAAACACCCTTTAGAAGCCTTTGTGAAGTTTTTTGTCACCATCTAAATACACATAAAACATCTTAAGTAAAAGAGCAGCTGAAAGGACTCGCAGCACCGTCACTTCCTACGACTCTCACCAAGCTTTTTCCTGGCAGCTGTCCCAGAGAGCAGGTGAGATCTACAACAGCTTCCTGTCCAGCAAGGCCACCATGCCGGTCAACATCGACAGCCAGGCTCAGCTGGCCGATGACGTCCTGACGTCACCGCGTCCTGACATGTTCAAGACCCAGCAGCTGCAGGTATCATCAAACACAGCTGCTGAGTTCATGCCTTCACGTCGTCCACAAAACAAGGGCTTCTTTTGTCTGAATAATTCAGGTACTCAGCGAGACGGTGTCTATACAGAGAGAACGAACCCTCGGTGTTGGGGGGTTTGTTCTCCTTTAACTTTTAGTCATTTTATGGAAGCATATTGAGGTTTTTTTTCCTTTTTTTGAGTGGCCATCTGGGTTTGTTTACAAAAAAGCTCAGAGGCTTTACCAGAGAGATAAACACAAACTGGCATACACCCACGCAGAATTTAGCGTGCAGTATACACACGTTCAGTCGAAGATCTGTGTACTTTCAGGCTGCAGATGAACATGATTACATGTGAACGATTGAGCCTGCTGTCATAACATCATCTCTAACCATATGTTCTCACTAAAAGTTCCTGTCTACTTGTTTCTCTCTGGGCTTCAAATTGCTAGAATCCCAGTTGATCATTTTTGGCATTAAAAAGCTGCTTTGTGTACCTAAAATCTTTTATTGTGTGAATGTTGATTCAGCACTCGTACTTTTTTGTATGTGATCTGACTACATATGCATGCAGTACTTTAGCTATTTTATCCATTCATGAATAAAAATGTTCAGCTCATTCAGGAGAATGACTACTGATTTTACCTTCTAGCAAGCTATTTAAAACTGCAGCTTTTAGCTAGCTATTTGCTACATTAGCTTGCCTTTTGCTACTTTTACCTAGAACTTTCTTAGCTACTTTTATATTTTAGCTATTGTTTTGTTGTCTTTAGCATGTAGTTAGCCTTTTGCTAGTTTTAATTTAATGTTCTGCCACTTCTAGCTTTTAGTTAGCTTTGCATACTTAATGGTTTAGTTTTGTGCTACTTTTACCTTTTTGTTAGCCCTATGTTGCTTTTATCTATCATAGCTTTTTCCCTGTCATTTTATACTTTAGCTTTTAGCCAGCCATTTGCTACTTTAGCTTTTAGCCAGCCATTTGCTACTTTAGCTTTTAGCCAGCCATTTGCTACTTTAGCTTTTANATTTGCTACTTTAGCTTTTAGCCAGCCATTTGCTACTTTAGCTTTTAGCCAGCCATTTGCTACTTTAGCTTTTAGCCAGCCATTTGCTACTTTAGATTTTAGCTAGCCATCTGCTACCTTAAGTTTTTGCCAGCCATTTGCTATTTTAAATTTTAGCTAGCCATCTGTTTGCTACATTTATATTTCAGTCTTTTGCTTCTTTTAGTTTTTAGAAAACCTTTAATTACATTTAATTTACATTTTTTAACATTTGCATGTTGCTTCTATGAACGTAGAACTAGTGTTTTGCTTATTTTAGCTTTTAGCAAGCTGTCTACATTTTGTAGCTTTTAGCTAACGTTCGGCTTCTTTTACCTTTACAACTCAGTTTTAGTGAGGTCACTGTGAATATTTCTGCAGAAAAAAGCAGTTTCTGTAGTTTTGCTCATCTCCCCTCCTCAGATCTTTAACCTGATGAAGTTCGACAGCTACTCGCGGTTCCTGAAGTCCTCCCTCTACCAGGAGTGTCTGCGCGCTGAGGTGGATGGTCAGCCCCTGCCGGACCCCTACCAGATCCCCTGCAGTCCTGCACCCTCTAAACACAGCGCCAGCTCCGACCGCTCCACGCTCTCCACTCCCAAAAAGGTACCCCTTAAAACAAGTGTGTTAGATGGACTGCCGGTCATGAGGAGGTGCTAATAAACTTTTCTCCTTTTCGTCAACAGGAACCAAGAAAACAGAAATCAGGGAAGTCGCCAATTGAAGATGGCAGTGAGAGTGCTGACAAGAAACGGGGGATTTTCTTCTCGTGGTCTCGCAACAGGAGCTTTGGGAAGGGTCCAAAGAAGAAAGATATTGGGGACATTAATCTGGGTGAGTATTAATGGCTTCATTTCTTTTTTAATGTTTTTATTTGACAGTAAAGACATGAACCAGTCTCCTTTATCAAACTCGTCGTATTTATTTTTCTGTGCAGACTATTACAGTAGTAACGGACGCAGAGAGTCCCAGGGCTCCTTATCGTCCAGCACCAGTCTGGAGATCCCCATTTCTGGTTCTACTGCCAAGATGGAGGTAAGAATTCTTCTGGTCAGATCTACATGGCGACGTTAATCTGGTGAAGCCATCATCGTAGCTCACTTTTTATTTGGTTGGTAAGTTGAGGATTTCTGTGAATCTCATGTCCTCAGTCTGATAATCGCCACTCGGTCGGAGCGTGGGATCGCTCGCCCAGGCACTGTAGCGTGCTGCTGCCCGACGGTTCCTGTTCCACCATCACCCTCCGGCCCGGTGCTTACATCCGAGAAGTCCTCCAGGATCTGTGTCGCAACATCAGTGTCAACATTGCTGCTGTGGACCTTTTCCTGGTGGGAGGAGAGAAGGTGAGGATGATGTTTGATCGCTGTTCAAGTGTCGTTTTTAATGAATTTTATTTATTTATTTATTTATATTTATATTTATTTATTTTAATTGCAGCCTTTAGTGTTGGACCAGGACTGTATGACCCTCTGTTCACGAGACCTAAGACTGGAGAAGCGGACATTGTTCAGGTATGAACCTTTCGCTTTTCTTACTTTATTATTTGAGATGCAGTGGTTAGTGTTTTTTTTTTTTTTTTTGACCTGCTGATACTGCTAACTAACAGCATATCTATGTAGGGTCCTGTGATTTTGATGCAGAAAATGCCAACAACATTTAGAAAATAAACAGAAAAAGTACATTTTGGGAAAACATTAAAGATCTGTAGGACCCTATAAATATTTTATTCAAATGTCTTGTCAAATTGAAAACTTGACTTTGTATAATAAAATGTTTACGGCACTGTTTTTCTCAAAACAATAAGAACTTCCTTCACAAAGTCTTTGTTGCCTAAAATCTACAAATAATCTCCTGTAAAGCGACTGGACAGAAGAATTTATACAAATAAAACCTTAAATAAAAAAGAATTATCTTTTTTGCCTATAAATGTTCTTTTAAAAAGTGCCCCGTATTACAAAAAATTTAATTCTTTTCTACAAGACTTCTATTAAAAATAAATCCCAGTTGTGTTTAGAGTAATACATGTGACGGAAAATATATTATACCCTGTAATTTAGCAGCCTTCCTGCTGTGAGCGTCATTAGTTTTACAGATTATTAGCAGAGGCAACGTCTCACCGGGTGTTTAGAGATGTTGCTGCTTGGCCTACAGYTCTACAAAACAGGATTTTACCTTTTAAATGAAACAACAAAATAGTTACAATCGGACACTTAAAACTGTTTGAAATATCTTTTATTAGCATTTAGTGTTATTTTCTTGATTGTAAATACAGCCTTCAAATTAAAGTTTACCACCAGCATTTCCAAATCCAGCACGTTTCCACAGATCAGCTGTAAGCCCAGGATGATAAAATAAAACAACTCTTTGTACGGCTCTTTCTTCCTCTTCTGCTCTTGCTTCACGATGAGCTGCTTTCATATTCTCACATGTTTAGGAAGCCGTAGCTGAATGGAAATATTCATAAAAACAGCAAAAATGATTCTGTAGAAAATGGTGTTGTAGCATCATACATCTCTCATATTTCCTCTGACCTTTTTTTTAAAACACCTAACAGATATTACACACTGAGCTCTATAGAAGAGCTTCGGGGCCATAGTGCAATTTTTTTTCCAGAATAAAGTCAGAATTCAGATTTTTTTCTCTCAGAATTTTGAAAAAAAGAAAATCTGCAATAAGTAATTTTCTCTCTGTGATGATTCTTCTTTCCTCATTAAAACAGCTCAGCTGTGGTGCATTCATTTACCAAGAAACTGATTTTTCAGTTTTGGGTTTATCAATTTGACAGATATTTTGTGGTTAATTGACTGAATTTCAGGTACTTATTTTATACATTGTGATCAGTTGTAATAAGGGATGTAACAATTCACTCAAACTGATTCAAATATCGATTATGATTATTATTTTTTTTTTCAACAAAATGAATTGTAGCCATTTTATATCCAAATAGGTTTCTTTTAACAACATCATTTCTGATAAATTCTTCCATTCCAAATTGTAATAATTTGCTTTAAACAGGTAGAGAATCAACAACAAATCTCTATTTAGTTTTAGCGTTCATTTCTAGAACTTACTTCCTTGTTTACTATGACATCATATCCGGGGTGGGACCAGGTTTTCTATAAACATTGTAAGAACATGTGGTCATTTTGTTTTAGATCTCAGGACCACAGACAGGTTCAGAGGGAAATGATGTCTTTAGATCTGAAAAAAAAAAAAACAATTAACTGAGAACTCGAAGGAGACATATCGTACTTTTAAATCCTTCTTTTTCACATTTAAATCCTTCAGTTGCAATTCTTTGGTCTGAATTCATCCTTATTGTAACTCCACAAGCCCCTCTTTCACCCATTTTCTGAGGTGTGTCTCAGAGCAACTCGTTTTGAGGCTCTCCTTAAATCCAAACGAGTGGCTTCACACCCCACCCCCCTCCACCTTTCAGAGCGGTCCATTCTACCTTACGATTGGTTTACAATTATATAGCTGTGTAGAAACATTTATTTACAAATGAATTAAAAGGTGTTAACAACAGATGACTTGTCCATCCAGCCTCACATGTTGGAGCCAGAGTCTGACCCAGAGAACTAGAAGAATGAAGACAACAAACCTGCAGAACCGTGGATTTGCTAAATTACTTAGCCGAAAGTCCACAACCTTGTTTAGCAGTTCTGCAGCCAATACTGATGTTATTGTTCAAAAAACATAACGGGGAATAGAGAAAACTGAACGGGCTGAAAAACACAACCCAAACAGAACATGATGTTATCTACTCCACACCGGGAGAACCTTTCTGCACTCCCAGAGACTCCCAAGTACACAACAAAATGTTTTTAACAGCTTAAAGAGTGGATTTTGCTTGAAATGTCCTCTGATTCGGGCTTCCAATTGAAACGATTGCTAACAGATCGATGGAGAAGTTGAAAACCGTTCCCAATTTTTACACTCTTATTGTTGTTTCACCTACTTACGTTTTGTGTTTACTCCTAGACTGGACCTGGTACCCATCAATCGCTCTGTGGGGCTGAAAGCCAAACCTACCAAGCCAGTCACCGAGGTCCTCCGTCCCGTTGTGGCTAAATATGGCCTCAATCTGGGCGATCTTGTAGCCAAAATAGTAAGTTGTCCCCACACTACAATGCTTTCATGTCTTTCAGGCTCCTGAGCGGTGCGAGACCCAGAGGGTGGAGTATCATGGTCAGGGGAGGGAGACGACYGCATCCTTTTTCCATCTCTGCTCGGTGGTTACAGCTCTGACTCAGCCTCGCATGTGAAGACGGAGCAGCGGGGCTATAATTAAGAATGACGACACTCCTCAAAGATGCCGGCTCTGTTCCCCTCCCCTTAACCCCTGTCAGGTTTATTTTAGTCCTTGGGGCTTCCAGGCATTATAACTGCATTATATACAGTAGACCAGAGCTGAAAGACGGCCTATAAAGCTCGTGCACGCACACAGCAGCCGTATGCTAATGTGGTTTACACTTCAGTGTGTTTTCCTTCTCAGCAGGTGACCATGTTAACGCACTGTGTTTGGTTTTAGAGCGGCGAGACTGAACCTTTGGATTTGGGCGCTCCCATCTCGAACCTGGACGGCCTGCGAGTTGTGTTAGAGCGAGCAGATCCGTGTTCAGTGAAAGGTAACGCYGAACAAGAACATTTGAAGTTGCTGACAGAAATCATTCATATTGAAGGCGGAGCCCGTTTCTAAAATCGAAATGAGTCATAAATGTAAACAGTAACAGGGGGAAAAGAAAGTCCAGCCTTTTTTCYTTTCTCTGGTTTTTACTTTTCAGGACGTAATAAAAGTGTTCTGTTCTTTACCAAGGTTCTAAAACTATAAACATGCAACCTCGAGTGAGCAAAAACACACAACAGATTCCACTGAGTCATTATCAAACTAAACTAAAGCTGAAATGAAAAAGCTGTGTAAAAAACCCAAGTTCATCCCGTGATTTAGCAGCTTGTAGAACCTCCTGTGGTTGCAGGAACCAGGAGGATTTACTCTTCTTTACAGCGATACTTCAGTTTACGAGGTACCAGACTTTAGTGTCTGAACAGATTCCTTTAAGTCCCAGCACAACATTTCAATCAGGCTGAGGTCTTGACTTTTACTGCTTCATCTCAACTCTTTGATTTATTTATTTTTTCTTCARTCATTCTGTGATAGACGTGTCGTTCTGTTTTATGACACTGGCTGTGTCCAAATTAAGGCACTGCGTCCTTCGAAGGACGAATTTTAAGACTGATTACGTTACAGTGATGCACCAAAGGCTGTCCAAATATGCAGATTCCTCCAATTCCAACTCACAAATTGGTTCTCTGTTTCCCCTTTTYCCCCGTCCCTCAAATCGGGGCAAAAGGAAGGCGCATTTGTCGGCAGCATCAGAGGATTCTTTGAATTTGGACAGCCTCTGGCGTGGCGCTGTGACGCAAGCGTCCGACAAATTCGGCCTTCGGAGGAAGCAGCCCCTGAATTTGGACACAGCTAATCACTCTCTCGCGGCATACATGGTCTTTGCAGTCAACAAARGACTTGGCCCACGTAGACTGGGTAGACCATGTCCTTTGGAGGACACAGCCCCTGAATTTGGACACAGCTTACCACTCTCTCGCAGCCTACCCAGTCTTCGCAGTTGACAAAGAACCCGGCCCACGTAGACCGCGTCCTTTGAAGGACACAGCCCCTGAGTTTGGACACAGCCTCATATTGGTCCAACTTTCGCCTTCAAGACAGATGTTCTCACATCTGACTCTAGAATTCTTTGGTCTGCAGAGGAATTTATATTTGACCCACTTACTGCAAGATGCCAGATCATCACCCCTCCACTGCCATGCTTCATACATAAAACCTTGGAAKTAGTGGATGTTTGCATCGTTTACGTGCTTTATTAGTGATTTATTATTATTAGTCCAAAACAATAGCCCAAAAAGGGAAATAAATTCCTAATTCATCTATAAATCGTACTGCACTGTATCATATCAAACTTCCCAGCARATGATATTCTTCTGCTCACCTCAGTGTTTAAACAGAGTCAAGTTTTACAGAAGAGGTCTCTGTTGTCTCAAGTGGCCCCTTCTCCTTTCTCTGCCTCTCTGTCCTCTGATAAATCTCTCAAACAGCTGAATTTGAATGTGTCCTCTGTCTCTCTGTGTTCCTCACCCAGAAAAATCCAAGTCTTCCTCCSTGAAGAACCACCCTCCAACCAGGAGTTACTCTGCAGCAGTGAGTACTCAGATCCCCATTGTTTTCTCTGACGTGTCCCTAAAACGTCCAGAGGTGGTGTTTTTTATTTTTTATTTGTTGTTTTTCTGTCTCCGCGCTGCTTCTGTACGGTCGTCCTAAACGATCATTATTAACATTCACCGGGTGTTCACGTGTCGGTGGGCTTCTGGTTTCCTCCAGTCTTGGGTCTAACTCTGTCTTTGGCTGAGCCGCGCGCTGCTTCTCCTGCTTTAAGCGCCGCGCCATGTTGGTGAAGAAAGAACAAAACCTGACGTGTAGTGGAGAGATTAGCGTGATGAGCAGCTGACAGATGGGCCGAGGCTTAGCTTTGTGCGAGGGTCCTTGTTAGATCTGGACACAGTAAGGTGCTTAGAAGCTCATGCTTAGCCTCTCTGACCCCCCCCCCCCATCCCTGCGCCCCCTAACAGAGAGCCTTGTTATTGTTGCGTCTGCAGGGAGATGAGAGGTCAACACCAAAGGACTTTTCTGTGAGAGCGAGTGGACCGGACTCGGCACTCCCAGGAGAAAAGAGAAAACAGAAAAAGATAAATATAGATGAAGCCGAAGGTAAACCCCCCTTCTTCTTTTTATTTGGTGTAACTCTTGGTGCTTTGCTTCGCGTCGGGACTAACGTGTGTTTCGGACGTGTGAGGCTGCTGCGCTGCATGTCAACTAATGGTTGTTTCTTTGTTTTTGTTTTGTTTTTTKGTTTAAGTCAAAACGATTCAAACTTGTTTTTCCAGAATTCTTTGAGCTGCTGAGTCGAGCTCAGAGCTCCCGGGCCAACGACCAGCGAGGACTCCTGAGCAAAGAAGATCTGGTGCTTCCCGACTTCCTGCGCCTGACTCCGCCCACTTCCTCCTGCTCTGCTTCCGCCGGCCTGGCCTGCTCCACCCCGGCCTCGGCGAAGCAGAAAGGCACGCCTCCCCGGGGCTCCCTCACGYCCGGTCTGCGCTCAGAGAGCCTGGACTCGTCCCTCAGCAGCAGCGCCAACGGACACTCRGCGGCCAGGCGGTGCCTGCTGCCCCCTCCCCGCCACTCCACCTTCGGCACCCACCTGTCCCCCATCCAGCGGCCCTCGGAACCCCGGCCCAGCCTCCGCACGGTGGAGGAGGACGCCCCTGCCGACCTGACGCTCGTGGCCGAGGCGGACATCAACAGCCCCAACAGCACCCTCCTCCCGCCCTCGCCGAGCCCCGYGGCGTCCTTCAACAGCAGCCTCCCCGAGGCCAACTTCACTCCTCCACCCCCCTGCCCCCAGCCTCAGCTCGCAGGTGGACAGGGCAAGTCCACTTCAGGTATTTCTACAAACCAGTGATAAAGCCGTGCTCGGTGTGTGTGTGTGTGTGTGTGTGTGTGTGTGTGTGTG